CAGCAGCGGTCCTGGGAACAGGAACCAGAGGCTAGTCAGAAAGAGGGTCACCAAAGTGACGACACAGAGTAGTAGGTGTTGGGAGTTCCATGAGCAAGACCTAGCATAGGGTATTTAGCTTTTTCTGGGTGACACTATTCTTTAAGAAGAAAGAAGGACATCTCTCTGCCAGTCACACCACTTTTAAGGAATGTGATCAAAGGTCTAGAACTCTCTTCTAGGAGGACAAGCTTTCAATGGTGCCTATGCCCTCCATAGGGGCCAACAGCTACCTACCAAACCCAATGCGCTGCTGGCTTCTCTCAGCCTGTGGGTGAATGCCAAGTGCTGTTCCACCTACAGAGTGGGACTGAAGGGCAAGAAGACCATCAGAGGAAGAGCTGGGCTGCAAGAAGGGCCTGCCTCCAGGGTGGGCACTTGCCTTATACCGGTTTGCCATGACAGTGCAGTCATTTAGGGCCACAGGTTCTGACACATGGAAAGATACTAGGAGATTGGCAATCATGGTGGAGCAAGGGGTCTGAGGGACCTAAGACCTGGAGAAGGGGTGTGCACGGGCACTGGGGTGGCAGCATCGGACAATGGAGGCATGAAGCCAGAAGAACATTGCCCTAGTGAGTGCAAATATCAGAGTCAGAATATTGAACTGGAATCCTGTGCCTCTTTTGAGGATCTTTCCAGGTGTACACAGAAGAATGAGCGAGGGGGAGGACAGACCAGGAAACTGGGAGGAGTGAGCATACATCTACCAAACAGCCATGAGATTCTGAGCCCATCTGGATCTTGAGAAGTACCACAGGAGAGGAAAATTGACTGCTGTGGGAAAATCCTTCTGCATGCTGTGAATGAGTATTACTCTCACTGGTTAATAATAAAGCTGATTTGGCCTACAGCAAGGCAGAATAAGGCTAGGTAGAAAAACCAAACTGAGGAAGAAGGGAGGACTCAAGAGAGAGATGCGAGCCAGCCGCCAGAGAAGCAAGATGCTAGAACAGGTAAAGCTGTGAGCCATGTGGCAAAATAGAGATGAATAGAAGTGGGTTATGCTGTAAGAGCTAGTTAGTAATAAGCCCAAGCTATGGGCTGTACATTTTGCAACTAATATTAAGCTTTTGTGTGATTATTTGGGACCCAGCAGTCAGGACAAAAGAAAAGCTATGCCTCCATCTACAGTGGACAGGGCTTTACTTCTCCCTGCCTAGGCAGACACACGGGTAATGATGTGATGACTTCAGGCAGCCTTTACTGCCACATGGCTGCCACCCTCTCCAGCCAACAACATGGCGGCAAGAAAGGAAACCTAGAAGACATTAATAAATTCTAAGGCATCAGATTTCACCCTTGATTTGTAAGGAGAAAACCTGGGGTTACTAACCTGGGGAGGTTGAGGGCAAGAAAGGACAGGTGGACTTTGGGTGGAAGTGAAACCATCCCAAGCACAAGAAACACACTTTTTCCTGTAATACACCATAACTTCCCTTCCTCTGTGGACATAAATAAAGGAGGATATACATACACTGATCCCCTCACCAGAGGTGATAGTGCCTTGCTCAATAAAACAATTGTGATAGAGGAAGGTGAACTCCTTCATTTCATTATTTGTTGAAATGACCAGTAAGAAAGTCTGCCTGCTTATCCAAGCATACAACTGCAATCCCTGGGTATTAAATCCAGGAAGCAGAAGGATCCTGGCTTCCGGGCCAGCCTGGGCTATATGGTGAGAACAACACAATGGCGGACGATATCAAAAGAGTGCCCACGTATTTGCAGGGCAATCTGTATGTGAATGGATGGAATAAACCATCATCTGCAGAAGAGGCATCACATGGTAGGACTCCATGTGGAGCTTGGTGTCTGCTAGGGTGCTTTTAGAATGCTTCCAACTTCAGGTTTCTTTCAAATCAGAGAGACATACTCCTAGCTTAAGAAAAGAAAGTGGCTATTAGTACTTTAATGTCTAAGCTGCAGCCAATAGTTTGGTGAGGACTCTCGTTCAAGTGTACTCACCCAGTTTCTCTGCCGTGCCTCATGAGCTGTCCCTAACCCAGTTCCCCCGGGTGCCACGTCTGATGGCTGCATCGCAGCTGTTAGCACCATCAGCCCTTTCCTACTGCCTGACTTTTAGACTGCGTGGCTATGGATTCACCACCAGCCCTTTCCTACTGCCTGACTTTTAGACTGCGTGGCTATGGATTGAATCCAGGGCCTTAATAATGTTAGGGAAGTCATCAAACCCTGAGCCCCAGTCCTGCCCTGGTACGTGTTCTCGGATAGTCTCATGAGTACTTATGACTAAAAACACATGTGAATCCTCTGGGAATTTTTGCTAAATTTTCTAACAGGAGAGGAAGAAGTTCTGTTACACAAACTGCATGACTGTGGAGTGTGAAGGATCTGGAACGCTCTTTGGTGTCCCTGACTACTTCTCTAGCACACTTTCTAACAGTCACACTGAAAATGAAGTATTCACAATCTAAATTTGGGAAGAAGTAGTCCCAAGTCAAAAAGAAGTCAGTATTGACCTCTGACCTAAAGTCAGGGTCCCAGGTTTGCATACCAGGTGACCCACCGGAGCCAAGGAGGCCTGAACGCAGTCACGGTGCTGACTGCTGACGCACAGAATGAATGACATACGCAATTCCTCCCCCATGGTGTCCAGGAAGTAACACACCGAAGGACAAATGACTCTGGGGGGTAAACACACAGCAGCTGGCTTTTTATTCACACCAGTCTGAAAGCTTCTCAGGCAAGCTGCTAATTAATGGCACTTCAGGCAAGGATCCCTGGCTGCTTACCCATGTTAGCCACACTCATAGCACACCTCAACAGTTTCTCTACCCAGGCACCAGTTTTCCTGAGCAGGGCCCACATAAGGCTGCGCTCCACTGCTTCCAACCCTGGGAGCATCACAACTGCCTAGGAATTCCAAAACACCAGAGCTCGGGAGGGCCCCCTACTGTCACTTGGGGGGGTCACTATAATGTAGTCAGGCTTGGGACGTCGTTGTTACAGCCAGGATTGAAACCAGTGGGTCCCACCTGGACCTTTCTCAGACAGTCAGCCATATCTCTCGGTGCCTACCAGAGCTTTGTGTATAACGTGAGGACGTGACATCTCCAAAGGAGCTGAAGGGAAGGTGTCTACTGCAGGTAGGGAGGGAACAGCTAGAGGCACCTGCAAGAGTCCAGAGCAGGGAAAGAAAGCAGGAGACTGAACATGGCCAGCAGACTGAACCAGACTGTGGAGGGCAGAAAGTGAGAAGAAGGGAAGCCAGAGAGGAAAAAGGAGAGAGGGTCAAGAGGAGGGGACCAAGGGCCTAAGAGTGTATGGCCCAGATGGCAGGCTTCTATAGGAATCAGAAGCTGGGGTTGGGAGGTCCATGAACTGGAGACAGTTGGAGTAGTAGACAGGACAGAGCTGCGAGGAGCCAGGATGCCGTGACGCTGAGAGCGCCTGGTAGCCAGCATACTAACAGGCTCAACAGTTAGTGTTCTGAGTTTCTTTTGGATCGGACACTTAGAAAAACTCAATTAAGTGAACCTAATTGACCTCAGTTAAGATGAAGAAATCATAACTTCTCCATGTGCTGAACAAAATGCTTCCCTGGGCCTGACCTAAAAAAGCTTCACTTGAGCCACGCCTGGAGACTCGCCTTCCAAAGGGCGGGTATCGTTCTCAGAGATGAGGAGAGGAGCTACCCTAGACCCCACTGGAGGCTGGGTCTCTAACGGCAGCACAGGGAGAATACTCCCCTCCGCTCGGGGGAGGGGTTTGGGGGGAAAGCAGAAGAAAGGCAGATGGTGACTGACTGCTGGAGAGCAGGGAAGCGAAGAGGGGGAGGTGATGGGAGGCTTGCTGGCAGGAGTAGGTACACTAGTGCATCCTTGACACCCGCTCTGAGATGCAGGGTCACTTTTTCCTAAACAGGCCCACCACAAGTTCCTTGAGAACATTTTGTCCCAGACAGACAGACAGACAGACATGCACGCATGCAAACAGAAACAGACACAGACACACCCTACATTACATCTCATTCTGAAAGCTTTAAAAATCTTTCTGACTAGGTGGTGCAGGTCTTTAATTGGTAGGCAGGAAGAGGCTGGTGATTTCTGTGAGACTGAGGTCAGACTGCTCTACACGGTATGTTCCTGGACAGGCAGGGGCTACACAGACTGTCTCTCACCAGCACCCCCCAAGAAATTTCTGGCATGCAAATCCACCCTCTTCTGGCTCAAACAGCATCTCAGGCAAGCACCTGAATCACCCCAAAGATGCGGTGGTCACACACCCTTTCCAGTTTGCTAGAGCCCTGCTGTGTCTGCAGGTGCTCCACGGCCCTTCCTGTGCTCCTGTCCACAGGTGAGCGAGATGCGCTTCATATGCTAGAGAGGGCTAAATCTTACCCCTCATCAGCGAGACATTTGGCCCCTTTTGTGCTTTTGTGCAAGATCTAGGCAGACAGTCAGAGAGCCCCTGGGGGAACACTCCCCAGGTCTTCCCTCATCACAAAGAAGCAAAAGAAGAAAGCAGGGGCTCAACAATTAGAATAAAGCAGGCGCTGTCCAAACAGGCAGCATGCCTAACAGAAAGTCTCAAATAAGGCGAGTTTCCCGTGAAAACTCATATTAAACACAGGTGTCCAGTCAGTGGTCTGCAGCTCACCCTACCAGCTCCCTCTACTCAAGATTTCCTACCTGTATGTGTCAATAAACAGTTCCACTAACAAAGCATGCGTCATGAGTTAGAGCAATTTTTTCAAAAATTTAGAATGCTAATTCTCATTCCAGTTCACGGAAGACCTTAATTTCCCAGGACAAAACATCATATGCCGGAGGATAAACAGTGATCTCTGCTTACACAAAAACGTGCTCGCGGAGTGCTGCAGGACAAAGTGTGGAGAAAGCAAGCTCAGGGTCGCTGACACAAACGAGGCCCGGCAGAATGGGAAGCGGGTGCAGGCCAGCAGAACCCTGGCCGGCCAGGCGCATCCCCGTGCTCACCTTTCTCTTCTTGGTCACTCTGCTGGAGCCATCGCAGCTTCTCTTCTCAGAGTCCTGCTTCCTTGCTGCTGGCAGCTGCTTGTCTTCCGCTTTCCTGGGGTGACCGCCCTTCCCCGGGGGCTGGGGGATCCGAGTGAGAAGGTCTAGGGTTATCTTCACCACCAAGCTCGTTGGTGGTTGAGTGTCCCTGAGCGGTGAGAGCAATTTGGTGTCTCTCAGGGGAACCAGGAGTCTGTCTTTTTGGCCGTCCTCTTGGACAATCACTGCCTGTCGGCAGCCGCTAGTCCTGATGCCACTGACACCACCACCGCCGCCCCTGCCACTGTGGGGTGGACCCTGGCTCTGAGTCAGGGAGACAAGAGCAAAGTGCTCGGGGTTCCTGTCCCCAGCATTGTCCTTTGGAGGCTGAGGGCCTGAGGGGGCTTTGGAGGGGGCCGGGGAACCCTTGTGCTTCCTCCTCTCATTAGGGGTGGGCACAGCTGCCTGTGGCTTAGGCACGGGTGCTTCAGGCTTAGGCTCCCTACTGCCCACAGCGCGTGGCCTGCCTTTCGTCTTCACCTTGGGTTTGTCTTTGGAAGTCTGGTCTTTTGAGCCATAGGGAAGGGGCCCTGGTTCACTTTCGGCAGGCCCGCTGCCCTGGGGCTCTGTCTGGCCTGAGCCCTTGGCAGGTTTTCTGGGTTGTTTGGTTCCGATAGTTTGCCGAGGTGGAGGCTCCTGCTGGGCAGGGGATTTCTGGCAGCTCCTCTTCCCAGGTTGAGGTCCCTCCGTGGGACCTCGGAGGGTTTTGCTGGAACTCTTAGGGGGCGGGTCTTTGGACTCAGGGTGCGGCTGGTCGGTGCTGCGGTCTCCATCCTTGCTTTCCTGGCGCCAACGTGGAGACTGGGTGCTCGCCCGACTCTCGAGGGGCGCTGGGGGCTGGCTGACTCTGGTCAGCCAGTTGTCCAGCTGCCACTTGTTTGTGGTCGGAGGCTCGGGCTAGAAACCGGGATAGAGAAAAGCGTCAATAAACCAGTCCTCTGCGTTGGCAGCACCATCATACATGACTGTCCCCAAGAGATTGTTCATTCTGAGCCTAGGAATTGACCCCTTCAAATCATAAATCACAGTCTTTAATGGTTTAGAACAAGCTTAAACAATTTTGCAATTTGAGAACTTTGCTCACTCAGTAGGTATTAATTAATAAGCAATTGGCAACTTCCAAGATGTCTTTGTAGCTGACGTCACAATTTGAACAGAATAGATGAACACACGTTGACTTGCAATGCAGGGATAAGGAATAAAAACCCCTTTTCAACTGATAAGGGTCCTCGCCTAACACTTGATTTCTCCTAGTTCCTTAAAAACAGTAATTTACATGTGATGGGATCACCACTAATATAACAGACCTGATTTCCGAGCTACAGAGAGTTATGGTGAAGGCACGTTAGCAGGGACATAGTGTCTTTCACTACAGGCAGCCAGGTCTGAAGCTGCACTTGCTGCCAAGCACAAAGACAAGATCCGCAGCAGACAGACAGACAGACAGAAGCGCCCATTATTACCCAAACAACTGATAAGGCAGATGGACAGAAGTTCCTAAAACATCCTGTCATTCAAACTGTGAATGCATGCCATGCCAGGAGATATTTCGTCATTTTTTGCATATATATATGCATATGTATGTATGTACATATGTGTGTGTATATTATGGTTGCTTACTTTCATATATTTATCATTTTGTAATTTTTATTCTCATTTAAAATGTTTTTATTCTGATACATTTATAGCATGTATATTAATTATATTAATGGCGGTGGGTAATACTGAATACAGATGGCCAGAAGAGGGTATAAGAGTCCCTCACAGTGGGAGCTGTGAACAGACTGCTATCAACTGCTGAAAACCAAGTCAGGTCCTCGACAAGAGCATCTCTATCACTATTTGAGCATCCTTACACGAATTACAGAATATATGGGAAATGCCAGTGTTGACAGAGTGATGATTATGTTTTTAGAAGACACCATACATCACTCGCTTGCTCCAAGAACAGTTAAACCATACACCAACCACCAGTGCGCTAACTGAAAATCTGACACATGAGAGTTAACTGATTATATCACGGATAAGAGCCATCCAGCCGGTTAAACCAAATATAATTTTCTTAATTTTGTTTAACTGGCTGGGGAACAAACCGAAGGCCTTGTGCCTGGTAGGCCAGCGCTCTGTCACTGACCTTGACCCTCAGCCTTGGGGAACAAACCGAAGGCCTTATGCCTGGTAGGCCAGCGCTCTATCACTGACCTTGACCCTCAGACTCAGGGTGGAAGTTTTCCAAAGGGAAGATGGGTGACAATTTTCGAAAGTAAATATACCAGATAATCCAACTCTCCAAAAACATCAGGCTTAATACAAATCATCCTGTGTGGATGCCATTTCGGTCAGGCTGGGCCAGAGGAAGGATGATGTAGCTTCTTGTGCTCACAATGGGATCCCACCACAAACAAGAGAAGCCAGCAGAGAAGCCAGGAGGGTTTGTGTAGGCAGCAAGGGGCCGGGCTCTTTTGTTTACACTATACTGCTCCTATGGCAGCAGACCTCTTGTCCCACCTCCAGCTACACCAGCTCACCCGGGTGTTCATCATTTAGATTTCAGCACGGGGGGGGGGAATGACTTCTCTAACGTGCAGGGCATGTCATGACATGGAAGGACAGTGTGTGTTCTAATGCAGCGAGGGGGAGAAATGACTTCTCTAACGTGCAGGGCATGTCATGACATGGAAGGACAGTGTGTGCTCTAATGCAGCGAGGGGGTTAAGCGTATGGAGGGAAGACAGCAGCAGAGTGACTCCTTGCCACATGATTTCCTACTTAGACTCAAGGCTTTGGGTAGCACAGTGCTCAGTGAGCTGATAAAGCTGTACAGCAGAGCATTCTGGAACCAAACCCTTCCCACCATTCCATGGGAAAGGCTGGGATAGGTCAACACCTGCGGTTACAGCTGCAGCCCTATCAATTACTGATGGGCTGCTCGGAATGTATTCACATGTGGACACAAAGGAAGAGTCGTTCCTGCAACCCACCCCTAAGACAGAGTCCCTGAAGGAATGTCCTGGTTACAGAAATAGCATACATTGACTTCCACTGTGGTCTTGAAGGTCCAGAAGGAAGTCCTGTGGCCCACTTTTACACAGTAACCCAGAGTGGTATGCCCAACCAGGAGAAAATGCAGCTCTTCCTCCGTACACTAATGGATTTGCAAACGTGGCTGCTTAAGGGACTAGGAATTATTTGGGTCGAGATGTTTGAGTAAGAGATTTGGCTAAAGCAGACTATAACTTTCAAACAGAAGTATGAGATAGGATTAAAGTTTGGTTTTTCATTTTTCTCTTCCTTATGTATCCTCTCAAAGGTGGTCAACCTAAATGATGAGAATGCTTCACTGATATAAGCTACCAAGCTACGTGGCTAACACAGACAAAAATTATAGGTTAATGCAAGATATAAGAGTTAATAAGAAGCCTGAGCTAATAGGCCAACTAGTATATAATTAATGTAGACTATGTGTGTTTCTTTGGGACTGAACAGCTGCTGGACCGGGTAGGACAGAAACCTCTGACAACAAATGGCGCCAACGTGGACAGCTAAATCCACTTAAAACCTGAAAGAGCTTGGGAAGTAATTCTAAGACACACACACACAGAAAGAAAGAAAAGAAAAGAAAAAAAGAAAATTTAGCGAGTTTAAGAGAGGTCTTCCTGACTCAGCGTTGGCAGCAAAACCCACATGGCTCCTTTAAGAAGGTTTCCTGGTTCGTGTTAGTTGCGTAGACAGCTCTGGCTCTTTCAGGAGACAGAACATTTAAATGGCGTTTCTAAGCAATGTGTTACAATCTGCTTACTGGCGCGACATAGACCCGCTGTATACTTGGAACTGGGGCGATGAACATGCCTCCACCATGTGGGACTGGGCAGAGCCTTAGTCCTAGCGACACTCACTTAGCATTAAAAAAATAAAGACAGATTCAGATAAAAAGACCGGTAAATGGGTCACAGTGCTGAATAAATGTATATAGGCATGGGAGAGAGAAGAAAAAGAGTATAGACAGTTATATAAAAAGTTTTAAAAAAATAAAACAAAGTCTTTAAAGAGACAGAGTACAGTCATAGACTAAAGGAGTAAAGATAATAAATATTAAATAGTAATAGAGTAAAAACAAATAAGCCATGTAAAGATAGAATATACACAGAAAGTCTGGATTATGTATATTAGTGTGTTTTCTTTGAATTTTTTTGACTGTGAAGGAGCTAAGCACAGAGAGACATTTCATTGCATGGGCTGCTAAGTTAAAACAGCATACATATTTGAAATGTATCTTGACTTCAAAATTTGGGTTTAAGGATATGTTGCTTTGGAAAGAGGTTTTGCTTTTGTTTCCACAGAGGATGAGAACCTGTGGATTGCTTCCAGACTAAAGGTAAGAGAAGGCACGGTGTGTGGTCTGAGTGCATCTAAACACCCTCTTGGTCTTCCTAACCTCTGGAAGTAATGAATGTGTGTGTGTTTTAGGATGAATTATAGTTCAAAACATAAAGTTTTGAGGCATACATAACATATTATATGTACTTAAGTTGCACTAACCTGATAACCTGAGTTTGATGCCGGTGTCAAGAGACATGAGCTTCACAGAGTAGTCCTCTGTTCACCCTCAAGGTGCCTCACACACGTGTGCCCACACAAACACAGACTAAATAAAGAAGTGGGCATGGTGCTGTAGGCCTTTAACCCTAGCACTTAAGAGGCAGAGGCAGGCAGATCCCTTCCAACCTAGACCATGGATGAGTTCCTGGCCACCTAGAGCTACTTAGTGAGACCTTGTCTTCAAAGTGAATTAGTAATTAAAAATACAAATGGGTGAGAAAGTGTATACAGTTGACTATATAATCCATGTTACCCTCAACTAAAAGGGGACAAAAAGCAGTTAAGTAGCTAAGGGAAAATGAAAGTAATTCAAGACAAGATATTCCCAAGAAGAAGCCCCAGCACAGAGTCCAGACCCCACATGCAGAGACGCAGCCTCTTCGCTGAAGCGAGTTTAAGAGGCAGTGAGGCAGGAACGTTATTCTGCACCTAGGAAGTTCCAATCTACTTTACTGGACTTTTGAGAGCTAGGGTATACTATGTAGCCCAGGCTGCCCCCCAGCCTCGGGATCCTCAGTATGGAGTTTATAGGTGCATCCTACCACAGCAAGCTTTACTCCAGAGCCAAGATTAAATCATTTTCTAGAGTTCTTCTTTTTACTGTTGGTGGCACTAGGGACTGAACTAAGGGCCCCAATGCTACAACACCAGCAAGGAATTTTTTTGTTTTGGTTTTTGGAGACAGGGTTTCTGTATAGCCCTGGCTGTCCTGTTGACCATGAACTCACAGAGATCCTTCTGCCTCTGCCTCCCAAGTGCCATCACCACCCAGCCAAACTTCATTGCTTTATTGAACATTTTTTATTAATAATGTAATAAGCACGCACATTTTTCTTACTGAAGATGAAACACAGGGCTAAGAATTCAGCTCAGTGGCAGAATGCATGCTAAGTATGCTCTACATTCATGTTCTGGTACCCAAAACAACAAAACACCTCACACGAAGCTCTTGTAGTGGCCAGCACAGAACTTATCAATAGAACATGTTTGTCACCCTCCCTCCCAAAATCTGAGTGAATCACTTCATATAGCCAGTGCCACAGGAACAGGGAGACCCACAAGCTGTTTTAAACTCTAAAAGGCACTTCAAACGCTTTAACGCTAGCCCACGCTCATGCGCTGTAAAAACCTCAAAAAACTAAAACAAGGACAGCCCTTGGCATTGTTCTGTGCCAGGCAGAGTCCCGCCTACCAGCACAGGACTCATTTCCTCAATCTCAGATGCCCTCATCCAGCCCCTGAGCTTACAGTTCACTCTCCAGCCGAGTTCAGCTGCTGTTGTAGCTGACCTACCATCTCACGGAGACACACACAGAAAACTCTCATCAAAAAGCCTCATGTCCCGGCTTTCTAATCTTAAATACAGAAGCAGTGTTCTCCATCAGGGTTGGTCTCATCTCATAAAGCAGAAATAAGGAAGCCTTCCCTTTTCACGAGCTCAGTTTTCATTCTGCTGCCTGGGTTCTGAGGCCATGTGGCAATCTTGTTAGCAATTACAGATAGGTTCTGGTAGGTGACCAACCAGCACATGGTGTGAATTCTAGAGGGAAACGAAGTTCTCCTGACTTCCAGTCTTACTGTTCGTCCATCGTTATAGTACTTCCAAGGTGGGTGCCAACACACGCGGTTGTCCCTATGCTACCTGGGACAGGAAGAAGCAAGAACCAGATTCCTGGCAAATCACTCTGCCATCAATTTTACTGCATGGCATTTAGTGATTCAAACACAGAACTGATGACTTGCTCTAGCCCACATCTCTTTCCTTTAAGTCGCCGATTCCTGAATTCTCAAAGACCCTTCCACTGACAGTAATGCAGTAACCTACTTACAACAAGTTTCCTTTCTAAAAGGAAAGAGGATGGAGCGCAACCGCGCTTAGGAAGCAGCACTAAGCTGCTGCAGAGGAAGCTGTTGTGCCTGTGTGTCCACCGCCAAGCACTGGCCAAGCAGCACACTGGGCACGTGGCTCCGGACAGTGGGAACGGTCACCCACAGTCAGACTTCAATGTCAGGGTCCACCCCAAAACCAGCACACCGTCATCCTGGATTGCCTTTGAGGGGCTGTGCTACCTCGGGAGCCGGGGTCTCGAGGGGCTCGTTCTCCTCGGTGTCGCTGGAGCTGCTCTCCGTCTCTGAGTCCGAGGAGCTGTCAGACGCGCTGCTCTCCGACTCTGCACTACTGGAATGTGCTGACACCACTGGCTCGGGAAGCGGCTGTGGGGCGCTGCAAAGCAACCAGAGGTGCAATCAGAGGCTCCCCCCTGGCCTCTGCCCATCCATCTGCTCCTAGAAAGGAAAAGCGCCCATGCTGGCCTATCATCCAGTGGTTGCAGGTCCATAGTCAGTGTTAGGATTGGTGGCCACCAGATAACTGCGTAAGAGGAGCGGCATCCAAGCAGCCTATCACCTGCTGGATGATATAAACAATACCTATGCATACGTCAGGGGCCGGGGCTGATAAACCAGGGCCTGGACAGCCGAAGACGTTTTCTAAATAAAGTTTTATTAGAGCACACCATCAACTGCTGTCTTTGAGGCCACCTGTGCTGGCTTTGCTGTGACAGCAGAGTTAAGCCATTAACTTAATGACAGAGAGAGTTACATGTACCACAGAGGCGAAAACATGTACTATGTGGCTCCCACTATATACAGCTCAAAAGGTGTGTAAGCCGCCCTGTATTCTCTACACAGGACCTAACTACACAGCAATCAGACAGCGCTGAACACAGAGAGTTCCTTGGCAGGGTGAGCTCAGAGGCGGCCCACAGTCACTTCCTGGTGGAGTTAGACAATGGGCCATTCTTTATGCCTAGCTGGGCAAGAACAACTCCAAGTCTTACAAGTCGGCCATTAACTGTAGGTCAATGAGAAAACATACAGATCAGGGCTAGGCATACAGTTTAACCATATGCAATCCTAGCTGCCCTAAATGGTAGTAGCTAAAGCAGACATCTTTAACGTTTCCAAACTCTCTGACGATATTCTCAAAACAAACCCTTATTAAATAATAAATAGTGTAATAAAAATCCACTCGTCACAGGGCTCTATCAGCGCTGAGTCAGCGGGAGGGGGAGCGGGGTGCACCTGTGACAGCGGAAGGCACCCCTGGACGGGAGCTCTTGCTCCAGCCTTTCCCTGCATCTGGGTTCACAGCTGCCTTTTCCTTGGCTTTTACGATAGATCAGTGTGTCATATTTTATGAGTCAACACGAGCTACTCGAAATGTTAACAAGATTGGATATAAATAAACGGGCTGCGTTACCAACCGTGAGCTGTATGGTGAATGCTTCCTTTACTCTTACACCATTGCTACTGACACTTGGGTCACCTCTCTCTAGGTGGTTGGGCGCCTTACAAAAGTCTATGAGGGACAGGTCGTTTTCACCTTACATCATCATATTTAGTACGGGGGGGGGGGGGCGGAATACGATAAAACTAATTCAAAAAATAGTTTCCAATTCCCAAAATGTCCTGGAAGTCACATTTTAAAGTAGCCAAAAGGAAGAAAAGAGAAACCCCAGGAACAACAATTCTCTTTGTCAATCAATTTCCAATTTTGAGACATTCTCTCACGGATGAGGCCAGCTGGGCTGGCAGCTCCAGAGGCTCTGTTTCCACACCCCAGCTCCCGGATCGTGCAGCCACACCTGACTCTCAGGCAGGGGCTGAGTCAAGAGCTTGGAAGGCAAACACTTTACCAACTTTTGACGCCTTAGCTCGGAGAATTTCAACACCCATCAAGGCTGTGGGGGGTTGCGGGGCCTCTTCCATGTTCCTGGGGTTAATGACCTCCCACCAGTTCCCAGCAGCTGACTCGGGTTTTTAAAACCCAATCAGACTGGCACTTTTCCCCCATTGTGCCGCAGTACCATCCCTTTCACGAGGCTACAAAGGAACAGAGTCAGCCTTTACTCTCATTTGGTTTAGGTGTGTGTGGCAGGGGAGCAATCGTTCTGGGGTCAGCAGGGAGGGACGTGCACACAGTACCTTGGAGGTGCAGGTGGGGACCGAGGTTCCTCTGCAGCCTGGACATTAAGAACAGAAACACTGGTTAGGACAAGCAGCCAGGGTGCATTCGGTGGACTCAGAAGTGTTCTTGGTCTCTGAGTTCAACACTCACTTGTTCCGTGTCACTGTCTTCACTGTCGCTGAGCTGCAGGTCATCCTCCAGCATGCTGGGAGAAATGGACAGACAGAGGAAAGTTGAGAGAACCGCTAATGATTTAGGGAGCATTTCAATAGTACATGTGCTTAAAGACACTGAAGGAATAAAGACAGGGCAGGAATAAACTGGAGGCTTTGCTTGCTCAGCTCAATTTCCTAGAAACTTAGGCTTTACCATTTAACACTGGAAGCAGATCAGCCAAACCCTACAGAACTTCTGGCAGCCATGTCTAATCTGCCCTGAGACTGTGCCCTCAATTCCTTCGGTGAGAGAGTCCACACACACAGAAAACACAGAGAAGATACATGAAGACACACACACACACACACACAATCCCCCGGCCGCTAAGAAAGTTAATAATAATAAATGATTATCATCACATGCTGATGCTGAACGGATGCAGAGTATTTATTTATTTTTATTCATTTGGTTTTTGGGATAGGGTTTCTCTGCAGCTTTGGAGTCTATCCTGGCTCTAGCCCTTGTAGACCAGGCTGGCTTCGAACTCGCAGAGATCCACCTGCCTCTGCCTCCCGAGTGCTGGTATTAAAGGCGTGCGCTAACACCACCCCATTGGATGTAGAGTATTTAAACAGTGTTAAGCACACAAAACTCCAAGACGACTGAATGATTCTTTTCATTTTTTGTCCAGAGGGCATTATTAACACTGAGCACTATTTTTCACAGGTCAAAAAAAGAAAAATATTCTCTTTTGTCTACTTGGATACAAACCCATAATCTTACGGTTACTGATTCTGTCAGGGAAAATAAAGTCAGTCCATTCCCTGACATGTCTATTGCTACACACTGCAGGCACTCAGGCTTATGGAAAACGTTTTCTCGGGGTGAGCGCCTGCCCTTCCGTGGACCCCAAATATCGAAGGCCACAATCACTCACTCTTCTCCACAGCTCTCTCCAATTTTATGGGCGAAACTATTTTTTTAAAAGTCAGGAGAAAAATGGGGGGGGGGGATCTGGAAATGTTAATGTCCCAGAAAACAAATTAAAAATCCTTCGGTAGCTCTCAAAACGCCTCTTCAGTAACCTGAGCTTAAGTTCATCCTGCAGCACCATGAAGGAAGAAGGCATGCTCCTTTAGGAAGCCCTGGTAAAACGCACTACATTTTCTAATGGGAGAAATGACACAACTGGGCTCTTCATGAATGACCGCATGCGTGTGATATGCTAATTCCACCAAGGAACTGTTTCAGCAGGGAATGCGCTAAAGCTGTCAGTGTAGGATTTCTACAAGGAGAACTGAGGCCAGGTGCGCTGTGCAGGCTCACGCGTCTAACCCGAGCACTTGGGAGGCAGAGGCAGACCGATCCCCGAGTTCAATCAAGGCCAACCTGGTCTACAGTTTCAGAACGGTGGAATACCTGTCAAAAAAAAGGGGAGGAGGAGGAGGAGGAAAGAGAGAAAAAAAAAGTTTAAGTACTTATAAGTTGAAGGTCTCACTCAATGTTTATCAAGTAGAAACTAAATTCTTATTTTACCATGGCTAGAAAACACGGCCTTCGGTCATGGGACATGGCAGCTGGCCATCAGAATGGTATGCCAAATAAAGTTACGTAACGGGTTTGCCACTAAGCTGGCTTGGCTAGGGGACACAGCATAAGGTATTATATTTGCAGGGAAAAATTCACAAGATATAACACAACGGGGAGGGGGAAGCCTGGCCAACTTGGCCATGTGTAGTCAGGATTAACCACGAACAACAGACCTACAGGAAGAAACCGTGCCCCTTAGCTACTGGGTTTCTTTTGTACGAAACTAGAAACTAATCTTTCTTAATTTTCTGTACCACAAATGATCCTGTAACCCTACCTCACTCCCATCCACAGCAGAGAATTAAAATGTTCATTTATGTTTCCCCCTTGCTACGGAATAACAGCTAACTTCTGTGGATATAGTCTCCTTAAGTCAGTAAAGGCACACGTAGGGAGTTCGAGCTCATCTGGAAACACCAGGCACCACGGGAGTTCTCCTTCCAGAGGTTATGGAGGACGAAACACATCTGCTGGTATAAAAGCTATTCAAGTCTCAGAAAGTGGGCCAGGTCTCGGGGAAGGAAGACTGACTGCAAAAACACGGATCTGGGGATGTGCTTCTAAACAAAAACATAAGAAATGATTTTAATCCCTTATGTAAGATATTAGTGCAATATAGACACTCAGTGTTTCCTATGATCTAAATCTGTGAGTGTAATTTATTTAATAAAAAATTTAAAAAGCTGGCCAGAGCTGGGGTGGTGACACACACCTTTAATCCCAGTGCTCAGGAGGCAGAAGCAGGATCTGAGTTCAAGGCCAACCTGGTCTACCAGATAAAATGTCATGGGTCAGTGAAATGGTTCAGAGGGTAGAGGTAGCTGCTTGCCAAGTAGGTTGACTGGAGTTGAACCCCACCCCCATCCCACGTGGTAGAAAGGGGGACCGATGTCTGGCCTCCACACTATCACCACTCTGTGCACAGTGGGTAAGTAGGCGGGCAGACAGAAAAATGAAGAAGAAGCGGGGAAGGAGGAGGAAGAGGAAGAGGAGGAGGAGGAGAGAAGAAGAAGAAGAAGAAGAAGAAGAAGAAGAAGAAGAAGAAGGTGGTACATGCCGTTAGGTAGGAAGGTCAGGGCAGGAGGCAGAACTTGAAGTTCAACTTCAGAGAAGAGCAAGTACAGATTCCAGGCCAATCTGGACTACATGAGACTTCTCAAAAAAAACAAAAACAAAGACCTAATGTAGCTCATATGAGAATCAGCAGACAGAAGTACACCGTCAGAGTCTGCTGATCCAGCCGTGAGTAACCACAACCCTTCCGGAAAACAGCTTAGGACAGATGTGGGTGACTCAGCACATGTCAGGATGCTGCCAGGAGGCAGGCAGTGGGGAGTCGTTTCAAACTTTTAATAAGAAAAGTGTTATTTATTTTTATTTTTTTACTTAAAGATCATAATAAAACCTTGCTTAATAGGGGAAATTCATGAGTGCCGTTATGACTTTCCAGAAGGAGAATCTCTACAGTTGCAGAAAATGGAGCTTGGGCACAAGAGAGGAGTCAGCTACTCTGTCTCCTGATTGTTCCATCAGCAATTGGTCCCTGAACACGGAGGGTGAGACGAAGCACACCTGGGTAAGAGTCTCTAAATGAGAACTGAAATCTCCCTGACTAGTCCTGCTCCTGTCCATAAAACCTAGGTCGAGAGAGCAGCAGCCCCCAGGGATGGGCCCCCCTCTCCTTGTCCATCGTGAACCCCAGGGATGGGCACCTCTCCTCAACCATCATGAACTCCAGGAATGGTTTCCCCTCTCCTTGTCTATCGTGAACCCCAAAGATGGGTCCTCCTCCTCGACCATCATGAACCCCAGGAATGGTCCCGCTCCTCAACCATTGTGAACCTCAGGAATGAGCCCCCTCTCCTTGTCCATCATGAACCTCAGGATGGGCTCCCTCTCATCAGTTGTGAACCTCAGAGATGGGTCCCTCTCCTTGACCATCATGAATTCTTCTGAGGCAAAGTCGAAGACATTTCCACCTTCATGTTCCTGAACCTAGAACACAGTGCACACCAGAGTGCTGACCCAAGGGCTACTGCTGTAGCTTGGTGAGAGAACTCTTACTTAGCGCTCCTGAGGCTCTCCATGGGCTCAGTTCCCGGAAAAGACAGAGAAGAGGCAAGAGTCTGGGAAGATGGGGAGAGGGGAAAAGGCGGGAATAAAGAGGTGGCCGTATCCCAGAGTTATGCCCACAGCCCGTGTGGTGGCTGTAAGGCAGAAATGGTCACTTTACAATCCGGATCTGGAATGAGAGGGTCCATCCCATGGCCTGAGATTCCCTTCACTCTGGCCAATCTATTTGACATGATAATCAGAGGACCTGAGAGCTAGGAGAAATGAAAAAAGACCTCAATTTAGCATAAATCAGTACTGGGGCGACTGTGCTGGTCCCCCAGAAAACAGAATAACTAACCCTTAAGTACTGATCTAACATCTAATGCTGTTTCCGAGCTCCCAGGCCAAGCATTCAGCACCGAATGAATGTCCTACACCCACATCGTTCAAATGCTCCAGAAAAACATCTCTGGACCACAACATAGTGTAGGCACATTGACAGGACAGGTGAGGTGAACTGGGATGTCAAAGGGTCAGACACCCCTGGAGCCTCTATGCCGATGCCTTCTGCATTCCAGTCCGGGCATGCTCTTGCAGGCATGCTTCCATGAGTCAGCCCAACGTTACTCTGTGAAGACTCAGAGACAAGATCTTGTCCATTTCCTAGAACTGGGCTTCTCCAATGCTTACTCTGCAAATATCCCATACCAAAGAACCCCAAACTATTTAAATAAACTCATTTCTGGCTTAACTTTTAGTACCATTTTACTTGAGAAAAGCCAAGTTTTACTTAGCAAGCCAAGTCAAGCGAAGAGCAGTGATCTGTAACTGGTAAGCCCTGATGGTGGTAGTGGCAATGTTAAAATGGTAAGGACAGAAGTGACAGCCAATGAACACATGAGGATGTGTATCATTACTCGGCTCCCAAATGGCCTGGGGACAGTGGAGGCGGAACTCCAAGACACCCGAAATTCCACAAGTTGATAATTTACCCTGACTTCTGTTCCTTTGTTTGCTTTTCAGACAGGTTCTCACCATGTAGCCCTGGCTGGCACAGAACTCACTGGCATTTGCTGCCTGACATTGGTTCTTTTTACAGGGTCTCACAATATAGAACAAACTATCATCAACCCTCCAATGCTCCTCACCTCTGCTTCCGGGTACTCGGATTACAGAACCACCAACTCTGACTTCTGGTTCCTTTTTGAAATAGACCAGAAATATGGGCAACAATTGCCTTATGGAAGGGGTGGAAAATTATAGATTCTCAAGAAGAGGATAGCACATATCATCAACAACAACAACCGCAAATGGGATTTTAAGCCATTATAACAAATGCTGGAAGAAGGAAGAGAAATAGGGGGGATGGAGGAGGAGAAGGGAGGAGAAATAGAGAGGGAGGAGGGAGGAGAAAAGGGGGAGGAGAAATGGAGGGGAGGAGGGAGAAGGGAGGAGAAATGGAGGGGAGGAGAAACAAAGGCGAGGATCCTTACTGCCCTTCAGTGTAAAGCTCTGGTTTCCTCCTGAAACACATGAATACTCCCTTCTATATGTAAGTTAACAAAGTCATTGTGAACACCATAACCCCAGATTCGCACTCCCTTCTATACGTAAGTTAACAAAGTCATTGAGAACACCATAACCCCAGATTCGCAATCACTTGACCCAAAATGTCCCTTTTCTACGAAGCCAGGTGCAGAGTGCTCAGCAGTAATGGCAGTTGCAAAAGTCTACCTGCAAATCTACAAATGAGAGCACAGGTGCATGCGAGCACAGGTGTGTGCTCCCGTGGTCCTGAAGCAGAGGGGAGACACCTCAACAACAACAACATGATAATTGTTCACCAACAACACGTTCAGTTAGAGTTGCCAGTGAGAATCTAGGTAAAACATCTCCAACAGTATGTGCTAACTTTTTATGAAATGGGAAGAGAAAAATTATTGTCTTACGTCTATATGATTTAAGTTAACTGAGACCAGCAAACCGTGTCGTCAGACCTCATTATAAAGGATATTTGGGGACTGGGTGTAAGTGTCCAGACGTTTGAACAAGGCTCACAGTTCAATCCCCTGAACTACAGAAAAACAACACACAAGAAACAAGGAAAGGCAGGAAGACTGGAAGACCTAGAACCCTTCGGCCGACAGAAGTCCCGCTCTGGTGGTCAGAACAGTAGCATAGCACACAATACTCCCGTCTGGACCAACAAAATAAAAAACTAGCACTACTGAGATAACGTGAATACTAAGGTTCATCTACAAGAATATCGGCCTGCCCCTGGCCATCACTAACACTGCCTCCTCCTCATCCTGAAGTCCAGCTCTCCCTCTCCTGAACATAATTTTCCAGGGAAGTCAAGCTTCAGATGGGAGACTGACTTCTGTCCTTTATTCCTTTCTCCAAAGTAGGGGTTGAGTTCAGAGCCAATAAATAAATAAGTGACGGAAAGAATCTCTCCGCACGGCTCAGTGAGGAGAGAGACGGGACGGGACAGGACGCACCACAGTAACAGTGAGCCAAGGCATGAGCGAGCGGCGCCCCAAGGGCCTGCCAACTGCCCTGGACTCCAGAAAGGAACCTTACAAAAGACACGATACCCTCAGGAAGAGGAAACACTCGGTGTGCTGTCCTGGAGCTGCTTCACATCTTGGAAAGGAAGTGGACTACAAAGCCAGCACTGATGAGCACACACACCCTCCCTGAACGTGGAGGCAGACAGCAGGACTGATGCCTCATGGGCTACGGCCTGACACCTCATGGGCTACGGCCTGACACCT